AGTGCAGATTGAAGTCATAAACGTTGGTAAAATTTGACAACTCAAATATTGAATTTTCAACTATGGATCATCAAAATTGGCTTGGGGGTCTTATGAACCACTTCCTTCTGATCATTTTGACACCAAAATCAAGATGATCCAATAGTTGGATCATCGGAACCAACCTTCACCACAACCATAGCGGTGGCTCTTTCTCGAAATCCAGTAAAACGGCAGCAACAACAGTAGCTCCTGGCCGGGATCTGCTAGTCGTCCCCCTTTGAGTCCAATGGTGCTGGTGGTGCACCCCCACCACCGACCGGAGAAGCAAAAACGAAAGCGGCGGCTACGGAGGTTTCGGCCACTACAGACGGCGGTGCTTCGGCCAGAATTGAGCCGTGTTGCTGGTCAGATTTTGTTCATCTCATCGCTCTTGTCCATAGGAACTGGAATCACCACAATCAGAGGTCGGATGACGAATATATCACGATCAAAGTTTTGGGTATTTTTAAAACTTCGGCCGGCAAGTGCGGCTTTGTTCGAAGGAGTTAGAGGCTGAATGATATGTTATATTGGACTTAGCTTGTTGAGAGCTTTGCAATGGTGAGGGATGTGTTGAAACCCAACGTCAGAATCTCATCGGAGGTGACCGGCAGTTTGTGAAAGAGAAGAGGGAAGAGAGAGAAAATATGAGAAAGGGAGAGAGATAGAGTTAGAACGTGAGGGAAATGAGAGACGTGATATTCACAACCAAACACAGTAATGTTTTATTCTTATGAATTTGAGACAAGATTTATGTATAGAACTAAACACAATAATATATTATTTTTTAGAATCATATTACATCTATTACTTTCTTAAAAATATAATTACTATTAATTACTGCGTACCAAACGCCCCTTAAATATTACCCAATACTAGTGCGGATCTATACCACAAAACTTGCCCACCAATAAGATGGACCTGTAGTACAAAATTTGACATGATAATAATTTATGGTTAAAGTATAAAAAATTAAGCATTTACAGCCCACCAAACCCCAGCCACAAGATAAAGAGACGGTCCCAAATTATCCTTGAAATCGACAAACATCACCCTGAAATTGAGTGTTACTTTTATACATAGTTAGTGCTGAATTGAAGAAGCATCATTAAAAATCACATCAAACAGTGTTTGTCGTATCTTTAAGGCCCCCATTTTGATGTTGCCAAAAGCATGGCAGTCACTCATGGCACGAAGCTTCTTGATTAGAGGTCCCATGCATGTATTCTCTCCTTTAATATTTTCATCAACATTTCTCATCCTTAGTTAAGGTGTCATCGTTGCCCGACCCGGCCCCACGCACACAAAACACCTTCCACTCCACAAAATCAGATCTAAAAATGTTATTATTGTTATATATGCAAAAGAAAAAAAGAAAAAGATGATAGTGATATGTCTAATTAAGTTTTAATTATTGGCTAGTCTTAAACTCAGGTTGTAAAATAAGCATTTAGTTCTAATGATGATAATGGCAGTATTAGGAGCGCAAAACACGTTTTCTTTTTCTTCTTTTTGTTTAAGCCGTTTAAATTATGTTCAATTTGCTTATTCGAGTTAAAAAGTGAATTCGTATGAAAGTAGACACTATAATTGAAAAAATTAAAGTTAAATTTTTGTGAGAGAAAATAACTATAATAAAGACTTGAGTTGTGATTCAAACTAATAAAACAAACAGAACCTTAATTTTATAATTTTTTATCATTCTATTAACGTTTCAGTTGAATAATACTACAGAACATCGTTAGTAGTTGCACCGCTTACAAATAAAAGATATATTCATATTTATCGGTGGAACTCATCTTCCATTAATAGTAATACTTAGTATCATTGGTGTCTAAAAGTATTTTTCTTTTGAGCTACGCATATGTCTTATATGAAGTTGAGCTCAAAGGGTAAAGGCCAGCAGGAAGCTTTGTACTCATTATTTTTTTTCTTGAAATGTACATAAACCTTATTGTTGATTAGGCTTATCCATTAATATTCAAATACTGATAATTTTTTTTTTTTAATTTTTAATTTTTGAGCAATGTGTTCCCAAGCGATTGAATCATCAACTAATTCTGAGCACAAATCTTCTAAAAGCCCTGACATGTGGAAATTAGTTCTTTCAATGGTTAGTCTTAGAGATGAACGTGGGCAAGATTCAAAAAATTATAGCAACCCACCAAACATGTATTAAGGTCATGTTTGTTCGCTTGTTTGAGTTGAGAACTTGAGTTAAAAAGTGAATTTATATGAGAGACAATATTATAACAAAAAAAATTAAATTTAAATTTTATAAAAGAAAATAGTATAACAAAAAGTTTGAGTCGTGACATGATTTGAATATACTTTTCAAACGGGCTCAAACATAAATTTTTATGATACAGACCCTTTCAGACTTTGCGCTCCGTGCATTTTCGTTTAGTGGAACTTCTATTTACATATGTCTATATCCCACCACCGCCAGAGCAAACAAAATAATCAGCTAAAATCAACATTCGAGACCAAGTGCAATTTGTTTACCACCGAAGGAATTGGGCAGTGTCAATGAGAGAGTCTTTTTTTTTCCTTCTACTCGCAGGAGAATTTTCAGGTTTGAATCTTAAAAGATCTTATCTGATCAACGAATTGTGTGGTTTAGACTCATTATTTGCTTGAAACTGGACCCATCTTCCAAGTATAATTGGGTTGAAATATTATGGGAGAAAATCTATCTTGCCACGTGGTACGACAGATAGGCTTCACGTGATCGTTGAGTAAGAGCACTTAAGGGTCGACGGTATCCCCACCCCCATAGGCACCGACAGTCGAAGCATCAACTTTTTCGGGGTTTTGAAGTTCAGCTGTTTTAAAGCGCTCACGATGGTAGTCGATCGTTCAAATGGCTAAGATGGAGATAGTTCCAACTCCTCGTAGGTCGTCGATCCCGTAAAAGGATCGATGAGGACAAATGGTCTGTCTGGACTAGCTATCCAGGCTCGATGAAAGCGGAGGGGGCAATGCAGTCAGTTATCTGACCTAGATCTTGAGAAGCCCCCCTAAGGCAACAAGAGAGAAATCCCTAAGTTACTTGTGGGTATAAACAAAGCCATTGGCTAGAGAAATGATTACCAGCTTGTTGGCCGCTCAAAATAGACCAATAAGAAATCACAGGAAGTCACAGAGCCACTATTTTAGGCAGATTAGGTAGATGAACTGTTAGAAAAGCACTGTATAGCTGCAGTCTAGACGAGTAGGACAATAGGCTACTCGAGAACAACCACATGGTAACCATTTGCCTCGGTTTTCTCCAATATGTAATCTGTGAGATATAAAAGAGGCATAGCCCAAGAGAGAGAGATGAATACGAACACAAGAGAGAACTGAGCTTCTTGTAATCAAAGAAAAAGAAGAAAAAGAGAGAGGATTTTCTGAAAGTGATCGTAGCTCTTGTATTGAAAATGAACCACTATAAATCTTGGTGTTCTTATCTTTTCTTTTAGTTCCTTTCATATTCTGAGAAATCTTAAAGCGGAATTTATAAAGCACATGCACAAACAATTGCACTTTATTAATCGGATTTAATCGGATATAGAGCTGTTATTTTAACGAGATTCAACCGGTAATCCAATCGACTACTAGATGGTAATTAAGTGTATTTCTATTGACAAAATTCCAGCGTAAACATCTTTGTTTTATTAATTGCCCTCCAAATTTCTTCTACAGAAAACGAAGATGAGAGAAGGATATCACTGTGATTCCTTTTTTTATTTCAGAAAAAAAAAGAAAGAAAGTGCAGTTTACACAAGTTCGGAATACAACTCGATTGAGTAGTTTGGCTAGGTTTGGACATATTTAAAGTGGACAAGAAGTTGCAAAAATTACCCAATTGGTGATTTGGTACGTCTTTTTCATTATTATAAGTTTGGGATACAACCCGATTAGCCAAAAAAGAAAAAAAAATTTGGGATACAACTCGAAAGTAAAGAGAAAGAAGTATAATTGGACAAAAGTAGCGAGATCGCATTGCAAAAAAGCAAGCGGACCAAGAAAATGATTGTTATCGATAACAAGTTAACCAAAGCGTGTGGTTTCAACGTGAAGCATGCTCATTAGAGGGAAAGAAACAAACAAATTGAAAAAAAGGAAAACCTTGCTATTAGACGTAGTACAAAATGGTGCAACTAATATGTCTTTGATGAAGGCTTTCTTTGGTTCTTAAAGTGACTTGTTTTTCTGAAAATGGTGGAAGTACAAAACCCATTGGTTTTTCACACACGTATCTACTTGTTTTTGTTTTTGTTGTTATTTTTTTATTTATAATAAAGAGCTATTCCTACTAAGTCTAACTAAGTGGGAATCCGTTTTTTTCTTTTTTGAGGATTTTTGGGAGATTTATTGCCCCTTCAAATTTTCATTTTTTTTTATAACTTTCTTAGCTTTTTTTTTTTTTTTTTTTTTTTTTTTTTTTTTTTTTTTTTTTTTCTTCTTTTCCCCCTTAACCTTTGATTTTTATATATTTTAAAATATATCTTATGTAAATACTTTTTTACAGTTATTTAAATAATTATTTTTCTCTAATTACCCTATTAAATTAATTTATTTTCAGATGTGTTCTTACATAAATAATTTTTACGGATGATCCTCATAAATTTCAGTTTTAGTTGCGAAACAATTTTGCATGAGTTTTTTTCTTAAGTTTTCTCTTTTTTTTTCTTCTTTTTTCATGTCTTTTGCTTCAATTTTTTTTTTTCACTTTTATCTTTATTTATTTTATTTTTATTCTTAATTAATACATTTAATAAAAAAACTATTGGTATTAGTGAAGAGCAAAGGCAACAACAAAAGGTGAGGTTGCCCAATTTTCTTCAATAAATACTTCAAAAGCTATTGGACTGCGATGCTCAGCCCAATATGACCTAATGGGCCAACTTACCAACACTCAAACGTCAGAGTTGGGTTGAAATCGGCCTTTCGACCCAACCCAAATCCAAGTACCACTATTACCAACGCTTCGGCTTGGCAGCTACTGAACCGTCTTCTTCGTCGGAAGAATCTAAAAGCAGTCTGGTCTGACGTCCGAGAATCTCGACCGCCACAAAAGCTCCAATCCTCCGCCGATCATGGAGTACGAGAACAAACTCGTCCTCGCTCCCATGGTTCGCGTCGTAAGTTATATTCTCAATCCCTTACCTTTCTTTTTCTTTAATTTTCCTTTCGGTAATGGTTTTTGCTACTCTTCTAAATCAATTTCTTCTCTGGTTTGAATTTGAATTTGAACGTGAAGTTCATTATTCGTCTGCTTAGTTCGGATTTTCTTTCTAATTAGGGGACGTTACCGTTTAGATTATTAGCGGCTGATTATGGCGCAGATATTACTTATGGAGAAGAGATTATTGATCACAAGATGGTCAAATGCGAGCGTAAATTAAATGGTACCTTTTTTTTTCATCCTTATGAACTATTATTTTTTCTCTGTTTGGCCAGGAATATTTCTTTTCTAGTTTTTTTCTCCATATTCTAGTATTGGAAAACTGAAGATGGGAATTTTCTTTTTTACTGTTTTTTTTTTTCTTGGCCCTAACTTTGTTAGATTACGGGTAATAAATGATTTTACAATTCATTTTGTTCGTGAAGGATGAAGATTTAGTTTTGATATATGTTTGAATTTAATAATTTCGCGGTTTTAATTTTGTTTTTAGGGAATTACTGTTTGAATTACAGTCAACATGGAATAATGTCGACTTAAGAAGGGGTCTATTGGGTTTTAAAACTTTTTACAAATTTTTTATAATGGTTGGAAAGTTGTTCAATCAATTTGACTCCTAGCTATCAACAAATAAAGATACAAGTAAGCTAAAGATACAAGTAAACTAAGTAATGGTAAAGGAGTTAAGGGAAAAGAGAGTGCCACACAAATTGATTGATCAACTTATCAATAATTATAACACTTTTGTAAAACCAAATTCACCCCCATTTCGCTGGTCATTCTTGGGCTATCAAATATTGCATATTTTGGAGGGAATGTTGGCCATGATCTAGTAGGTTAAATAGTAAAGGAGTTGAGGAAAAGAGAGTGCAATAACTTGTTTTGTTTGTTAGACTTTCCAAATTAATAAATGATACATGGGTTAGCTTCAAAAGAGTACCATGAGTATCTTGTCGGCAAAACAAGTCCCTCCGTTGTTTAGTAATTGGAGTGGCACGGGCAATGTGTGCAATTAGGATTGACAAGCGGTAGCAAATTGTTCGATATTGAGAATTAATTGAGATTCATTTTATCTTACTCCTTTTCTTTTCACACTATTAGTATGTGGGATCTAATGCTTTCTTATTTTGTAACTGCAAAAATCATGTTATTAAGTTCACTGAAGTGGGAGGAAAAAGGTTTTTTAATCTGCTTAAATAAACCTATCAACTTTGGGATGGAAGGTTACCAATGTGCAAGTTTGTATGATATGTTTGATGATGCACGTAAGAAGTTAGTTAGACGTAGATAATTGTACAAGATAGCAATCTTGCCGAGCATGATAACTGGGAATTGGATCAAATGAAAGAAAAATCACTCTCTTAATTTCTCTTTACTATTGATTAATTGGATATTAATTTTGCGATTTCATTAATTGATAACTTGGAGATGTTGTAACAATGGTGGAAGTAAATAGTTTTGGCTTTGTTGTGTGATATTTGATTTTGGGCTTTTGTTTTTGAATGGTTGGAAAGCTTTTAGTTTTTCTTCTTTGGCAGAACATCTTGGGTCCATTGATTTTGTAGAAAACGGGTCTGGGAATGTTGTTTTCAGAACGTGCAATGAAGAGAGAAATCGTGTTGTATTTCAGATTGGCACTTCTGATGCTGTAAGGGCTCTTGCAGCTGCTCAGTTAGTGTAAGTTGACATGACTTCCATTTTCTCTATTGGAACTTCTTTTTAAAAGAACCTTCCTCTGTTTTTTCCTTTCAGTTTTCTGTATGATTTGCTAAAATATCTCAGCATATGAAACATTTTGAGTGGGAGAGTGATAGGAACCCGAAAATCTGAGCTTCATTAACAACACTAAACATGGAAAATTACAGGATAGATGGGCGGTTTCGAGGACCCCCGACCTCCAAGATAGTGCATGTTGCGTGATTTTTATGCTTGCAAGTGCATGTATCGCAATCAGGTAATAAAGTGTACAAAGTACGGATATCGTCCCACAAAGAATGAATCACCAAGTGTAGATGTAGAAATCAACTAGTTTACCCGTTTTAAGTGACAAAAACTGATTGTTCGAAAATTACCCAATTGTTATAAATGCAGAAATGTAAAATAAACTATAAAAAAGATTAACCAAAAGATCAAGAATACTAAAATGGAGTTTATGCAGTGATGTAAATCAGCTAGACCTACTAATTTCTCCTTAGTTGCAAGTCTGATGGCAAAATGCTATGAGAATGCTGTAGTATTTCCTGTTAACAGAAACTCTTTTATTATACATATGATTCTCCCGAAGTCATTATGTCTAAAATTCCTCAACCATTTCCAGCATATTCCTATGTAGATCTAGTTTCAGAATGCAAATTAAGCTCGGATTTCTATTTGTTATGCAAGATGAACAATATATTCCTATACCATTCACAAATCAATAAACTAAGCAAGAGTATTGAACTTGCATCATCTATGTAAGATCCAACTAAAACTAACTTTTCCAGTATTAATCTTAGTCTTGTATTCTACGTTTGATGGCCAGTCAAAAACAAAAACGAACATTAAATACACATAGGTGAACGGAGAATAGAATTAATCAACATTTCTTAAGCAACCATCATCCTTACAACATTGGTTCCATTAGTAGATCTAACTTAACAAATTAGTTCATGATGATAATTACAAGAACCAGATTTTCAGTAATATCCATGTCTTAATCAATATCAAAAATAACAAAAGATTCAAGCTAACAGAGAGAGGGAAAACTGAAGAGCTGGATCTTGGATCTTCTAGATTCCTCCTTGTCCTTCTTCACGGATTCACTCTCTGCAACTCTCTCCCTTGATTTTTTTCTTCTCTTCCTCACGTTGCTGGTACTTGTTTTTCCCCTCTTGGTAATGTACTGTGCGTTTTTCTGGAGAGGGGTACTGTGTACTCTCTTTTCTTGATGATATAAGAGGTGTGTGGTGTCCTTTTCTCTTTCTATTTTCTTTTTTTTTTTAACCCTTGGCGGCTGCTTACTCCTTGCAGCAAAACATTTCCTTCCTAGGGTAACAAGAGGGCTGAGCTGTCACTTGATGAGGGATGCAGTGGTCCACACTACTGTACATCTCACTCAGCTCACATGGGCTTTTGTCCTTTTTCTCCACATAATGCGCTGATGTCATCACTTGGCAGCTGCACCTAGAATGCTGCTGCCTCCACTGATTTCGTCCTGCATTTTGCAAAACCACACTTAGACATACCTCAGCCTCTTTTTGATTCAATGGACTCCTTTTTAACCCAAAATCAACACAAGCACAGAATTAAGTAGGACAAAGTGCAAAACCAGAAAATCTAAGTTAAAATACAAAGAAAACAATGAAATACACTCTTGGCTAAGTAAACTTTAAGCTAAAAATGCATAAGATAACTGTAATTTCTTAGAGTTATCACACCCCCAAACTTAAAGTATTGCTCGTTCTCGAGCAAGACACAACAAAGACATAAACGAAAGCTAAAAACAACAATGAATAAGAAGAAAAGAAGCACAAGTTTTGTGAATGAATTCTCAAAAAAGTTACCCTCAAAAGCTGGATTAGGAACATAGCTTAAAGAGAAACACAATATCTAGCCAAGTGTTGATCCTAAATTCAAAAGACTGCTTCCTCCCTACTTGGACCTTTCTTGTGTGTGTGAGCACCCAAGTGCCAAATCATCAATGACAAAACTAGATGGGACCAAGCACACGTGCTCTAAATCAAGTGCTTCACATTATGAGTTCAAACCCCATACACTTGCTTTTCAAAACTCTCTTCACTAATGTAAATCAACACACCACCGAGGATCAATAGGACTTCATTAGGCTTGTAATGTTAGGCTAGGGTGAAGGTAGGATGAGAGGTAATATTTTGGCTCAACTCACCCTAAGCACATCGCACTCTAGAACCTTGCAGACACAAATAACATTCCCAAGTAACACCCCCAAACTCAAGTTTTGATTTCCCTTGTCCACTATATTTGCTTTTATTTCTAGTTACCCTTTTATTATATTTTTTTTGAACTACCAAGAATTGCCAACTTGCCTTTTTACGCAAATGCCAACATTGGTGATGAAGTCACCCAGTTACTCAATAAGTTGCAAATCAAGGCGCTTTTTCTTTTGTTTTGTTTTTTTTTTAATTGCTCTTGCCCTGGTCTACCGTTTGACGCAAAAGTGAACATGGGGCTCATGCTCACTCCTGGTTATTAAGCATTCTAAAGTAGCGGAGCAAGGTTTTTTTTTTTTTTTTGAATCAAGAACACATACTAGACATTAAGAGCTCAAGCTCCCCCTGCCTCCAAACTCAAAATAGCATTGTCCTTAATGGTGCAAGAGGAGCAAGAAAAGAGCAACAAAAACTTCATTCAACCGCCACCCTACCTCCCACACGTGCACATTTTTATATGAATCCTAGAACGTTGACATGCATAAGGACGATGGGTAGAAGGTGTAAATGTTATTGCAACAGCTAGGCTAAAGATAAGGGTTACAAGGAAAAAGGGATATATAAGCTCAACGGGGTATGCTACGGATATGTTGAATTAAAATCGGCCACAAAGCTCAAACGGTCCAAAGATAGCCTAAATCATTTCCTTGATAAAGTGTTAATTTGAGATTTTGCCTCAAGAGTTCATCAAGCAAGTTCTAGAGCTTATAAATGGTTTATTTGAAAATGAAGCACATGCACAAGATCTTACCCTACGTAAGCACCGAATCAATAACACAAGGCAGCTTGCATAATGGGAAGAAAAATCACAAGCCAAGATATAAGCAATCAAAAGAATAAAAAATCAACACAAGGTGATATCAAGTTTTTCTAAAGGCTGCACCCTACCCAATCAAAATGCATCATTGGTTCAAGAGAATTCATCACAAAGTTAACAAACAAAACAAGTAAACATGGTAAAACGACAAAAGACGTAAACTAAAAACAGAAACAACATAAAAACAGTGAATTAAAACTACTAAATCAGCATTTGAGCAAGGAAGACACCCAAATAAATGAGGACTAATAGGGGCAAGAACTTCCCTGAATGATTGCGGCCACCATCACCCTCGCCACTTCCAATTCAATGCACTCCGCAATGACATCCGCCTAGAAGAGGGCTCGGAGGCGACATATTTGCCCTTGTCGCGGTGTCTTGGAGGGGCAGCAGCCTCAGGTTTTGGCTGCTCGACTGGGGGAGGGCTGGGAGGAACAGGGTCAGCTGGTTCTTGGTTGGCAGGCTCATCATCTTCGGAGGATGAGGCATACAAATGCTTGGGGAACTCCGGAAAAGACTGGAACCTGCTGGAGTTGGCGCTATAATGCTGTTGCAAAGTCAAATCTCTCTTCTTTTCATATCTCCAGAATTCCCTCATCATCTGGTTTGATTCGCATTGCAGTACCTCCATTTGACTCACTCTTTGCTCCAAGCGGCGGAAACCTTCTGCCAAATTGTTGCTGGGCTGCTCAGGAGCTCGAGTGTGATGTCGGCAGGTGCATGTGGTTCGCTTGCTTCCGCTTCAGGCGGCGCATCATCTTGTAAGAGCCTGTTGATGGCAACCCGTGTGATAGCCATTGGCGGTTGCTCTTTTGGCTCATTTTCTTTAATAACACCACCATACTTTTGGCATAGCTGCGTGATAAGCGATGGAAACCACAGTGCACCATTGTTCCGCCGCGCGCAAATGCGAATTTGTTGCAAGATGAGCTTGCCTACATTAATGTTCCTGCCCTCCATAATACTGTATAGAAGGATAGCCCTCTCTTTGTGTACCACATGGTCATGCGACGAGGGCATCAGTCGAAACTTCAAGAAATGAAACCAGATTTTCGGTCCTGGCTTAAGGAGTCTACGAGGAATTGTCATGGAGCCTATGCTTGCCCTTGTCCATTCCGCTCCATCCTCACACAATGTGTGAAGGATTTCCTCAAGCTGCTCATCATCTAACACTTCTGCGAATTCCTGAAAATTATCATCAGAATCTTGCAGATGGTAAATATTGTTAATTTCCGCGAAATTGATTGGAATCCAGTGGTTTCTCACGAAGACTAATTCCGGTGAAGCTGCATCGTTGTTCGCATAGAACTCACGAATCAATGGGATGACTGCAGCTGGTTGGCGGGAGCAGAAAGTGCGCCAGTTGTGCTCCTTTATATGACAGTGTGAATAAAATTTGGGTACCCTAACGTTTTGCTCAATGTGTAGACAAATCCTCTCTTCATATATGTAAGGCTCAAAATTTTGTGCACGTTTCAAACCCGTCTGATGCTCTCGGCGAGACAAATCGCTCTACTTCCTCCCGCACTGGTTCAGCCCTTCCCTTTCTCGCTCTACCCTTAGGAGGCATTTTGAAATATTATCAAAGAATCAAGCATTGAACACCCATTCTGCTTCTTGATCACCCAACAGCTGACTGACTCCCTCTAGGAGTATTTCTTACTGAAACCCCAACAAAGATTGTTCTCCGCTTCTCCCCCCACTCAAAGTCCTCAAACGCAGAACCACTCCACTTCTTGCAACACTTAATTCAACATATCCTTAGCATACCCCGTTGAGCTTATATATCCCATTTTCCTTGTAACCCTTATCTTTAGCCTAGCTGTTGCAATAACATTCATACCTTCTACCCATCGTCCCTATGCATGTCAACGTTCTAGGATTCATATAAAAATGTTCACGTGTGGGAGGTAGGGTGGTGGTTGGAGGGAAGTATTTCATGAGAAACTTCTCTGCCAAATCATCCCATGTTGCCACTGAATCTGGAGGTAAAGAATTCAGTCATGCTCTAGCTCTATTTCTCAAAGAATAAGGGAATAGCTTTAACCTCATTGCATCTTCAGTGACCTCCGGTAGCTTGAAAGTATCACTCACCTCCATAAATTATCTGAGATGAAGGTGAGGATCTTCAGTTGCATACCACTGAATTGGCCCACGGTTTGGAGCATTTGAAATATCACTGGCTTAAGCTCAAAATGAGGCGCTTGAATCTCTGGCCTCACTATGCGGGGGTTAAGTCCATGTAAAATGGGCACAACATATTCTTGAATGGCCCTATTTCTATCATCTACCAGTACCGGTTGGGGGACAGGAATGTTGGCATTTACTTGCTGCCCATTGTTTCCTGTTGCCCCTTCTGCCATTTCTCTAACTCCTGCTAAGCTTTGCTGTTCCCTTCTCCTAGCTCGGAATGTTCTTTCAATTTCAGGATCTAAAGGCAGCAATTCCAAGTCTTGCGGTAGATTCATGCAAACGGTATAATAACTTGAGAAATTATAAACTGAATGAATGAGAATAAATCAAACAAGACGAAAAACAAATTAACTTCTACAAATATTCTCAATGATTTCAATTCCCCGACAACGGCGCCAAAAACTTGTTGTGTGATTTTTATGCTTGCAAGTGCACATATCGCAATCAGGTAATAAAGTGTATAAAGTATGGATATCGTTCTACGGAGAACGAATCACCAAGTATACATGCAGAAATCAACTAATTTACCCGTTTTAAGTGACAAAAAATGATTGTTCAAAACTTACCCAATTGTTATAAATGCAAAAATGTAAAATAAACTGTAAAAAAGATTAACCAAAAGATCAAGAATACTAAAATGGAGTGTATGCAGTGATGTAAATCAGCTAGATCTACTAATTTTCCCTTAGTTGCAAGTCTAATGGCAGAATGCTACGAGAATACTATAGCATTCCCTGTTAACAGAACCTCTTTTATTATGCATATGATTCCCCCGAAGTCATTATGTCTAAAATTCCTCAACCATTTCCAGCATATTCCTATGTGGATCTAGTTTCAGAATGCAAATTAAGCTCGGATTTCTATTTGTTATGCAAGATGAATAATATATTCCTATACAATTCACAAATCAATAAACTAAGCAAGAGTATTGAACTTGCATCATCTATGTAAGATCCAACTAAAATCTTTGTCTTGTATTCTACGTTTGATGGCCAGTCAAAAACAGAAACGAACATTAAATACACATAGATGAACATAGAATAGAATTAATCAACATTCCTTAAGCAACCATTATCCTTACAACATTGGTTCCATTAGTAGATTTAACTTAACAAATTAGTTCATGATGATAATTACAAGAACCATATTTTCAGTAATATCCATGTCTTAATCAATATCAAAAATAACAAAAGATTCAAGCTAACAAAGAGAGGGAAAACTGAAGAGCTGGATCTTGGATCTTCTAGATTCCTCCTTGTCCTTCTCCACAGATTCACTCTCTGCAGCTCTCTCCCTTGATTTTTTTCTTCTCTTCCTCACATTGTTGGTACTTGTTTTTCCTCTCTTGGTAATGTACTGTGTGTTTTTCTGGAGAGGGGTACTGTGTACTCTCTTTTCTTGATGATATAAGAGGTGTGTGGTGTCCTTTTCTCTTTCTATTTTCTTTTTTTTTTTTAACCCTCGGCGGCTGCTTACTCCTTGCGGCAAAACATTTCCTTCCTAGGGCGACAAGAGGACTGAGCTGTCACTTGATGAGGGATGCAGTGGTCCACACTATTGTACAACTCACTCAGCTCACATGGGCTTTTGTCATTTTTCTCCACATAGCTAGCTGCACCCAGAATGCTGCACAGAATGCTGCAAGAATGCTGCTGCCTTCACTGATTTCGTCTTGCATTTTGCAAAACCACACTTAGACATACCTCAGCCTCTTTTTGATTCAATTGACTCCTTTTTAACCCAAAATCAACACAAGCACATAATTAAGCAAGACAAAGTGCAAAACCAGAAAATCTAAGTTAAAACACATAGAAAACAATGAAATGCACTCTTGGCTAAGCAAACTTTAAGCTAAAAATGCATAAGATAACTCTAATTTCTTAGTGTTATCAGTGCACAACACTAGACACTCTCTACAAATCTCCTCCTCCCCTTATTAGCCACTTGACTCTTATTTATACTACTAAAAAACAACTATTAACTATCAGGTTCCTAACATTACTCCCGCCCCAAAGGCAACTACTAGACTCTTATTTTCACCTTGTCCTCAAGGTGAAAATCAAGAAATAAAATTGAAAAATAACATCTAAATGATTAAAAACAAAAGGCTTTGTTGGTTCCTTGATTTGTGTCCCTAAATTGATGTTGTCCTTGTAAGACACGTCTTCAAATTGGCCCCTTGATCAAGCTTATCAATGACCATAAAAGCTTTTGACAAATCCATCATTAACAAAAGTTTCCTTCTCAGCTAACTAGGTCTTCATCCTTTCAGCATCTCTGCCACCAATTGCTTCATACCCAGCCACAGACTTACTATACCCAGTCCTAAATATGTTGGAATTTTGAGGCCCAACCACCATTGCACCAGAACTAGGCCCAATATTGTTGTAATTACGAGGTCCAACCCGAACCATGTCAAAATCGACCCAGCTCACTCCTGAATCACGAGACCCAGTCCACACTTTTGGGAACATAGCCCCCAAATCACCAACGATGGCCCCAATAGTTCCGGAATTCCAAAACCATGCCTTCGCTGTAATCAGCCCCAACCTCGCCGGAAACAACCTCAACAACGTCAGAATCATGAGACCCACTCCAAATTTGGCCGGAATTTTTGAAAACAACACCAATCTTGCCGGGATCAGCCTTAATGGAGTTGGAATTGCAGGACTCCATTACAATCCCGCTGGAATTTGCCTTCGTAGCACCAGAATCAACCCCTTTCACGCTGGAATCGTGAGGCCCGGTCCAAACCACAGCCAAATTGCCGAGCCCAGCCTCCACCGCGCCGGAACTCGCACCAAAATTCCCAGATCTAGCCTCAATCTTACTGGATCTTGAAATATCAGCGCCAATCCCGCCGGTGTTCTCAGATTTCGTCGCAGATCTGCAGTCGTTTGCCACAGATCTAGCACCAGATCGCGAAGAACCGCTCAAGTCTTCGTCGGCCTCGCGCGATCCCAGATCTCGTTGCACTTTCTTCGGCGTTGGTCGCTGTCTTGGAATTTCCAGATCTGGTCGCCACTTAGTTCTCTCTGCCTCTGATATGGGTCTACAGTATCAGATTGTGGAACCCGAGGTTCAGTGCTCAGATCTGATCGCGACTCACCCCAACTATATCGCAGCGCCTTTGTCGTCCGTTCGCCCTCCACGAGCTCTTCCTGGCGGCGCATCAACTGATCCAAACGATCTAGGTTGCCATGGATTGCCTCGACAGTCTTCGCAAGTACAAAGATCTTCTGTACCGGACGGAATCGCTGCAACAAGTGAGGCGTAAACTCTGACCAACTCCAAAACGGCCATCGTCGATATTCCGATTGAAACCAAGCCAAAGCTTCAGCCTCTAAGTGGACAGCCGCAGCCTCTAATTTCTCTCGTTCTGTCATGCGAAACTGTGAAAAGCTTCGTTCCACACGAACAATCCAACCGTCGGCGTTATAACCGTAGAATACTGGCAAGTCAATCCGTCGAGTTAAGCCCTCCCCACCATCCAGAATGAGATATGGTCTTCACCAGCCTTGTCGATGCAACATGTCGGCCAAGAATCGATGCTCTGATACCATTGTTAGGAACTCGAAAATCTGAGCTTCATTAACAACACTAAAAATAGAAAATTACAGGATACATGGGCGGTTTCGAGGACCCCCAACCTCCGAGATAGTGCATAGCACTAGACACTCTCTACAAATCTCCTCCTTCCCTCATTAGCCACTAGACTCTTATTTATACTACTAAAACACTACTAAAAAATAACTACTATCAGGTTCCTAACAGAGAGTGGGTCAATCTGTCATCCTAAGTACATTTTTCATTTTTAATAGGAATTTTATTCTCTGAATATGTCTTGTTTGGAGAAAACGTCTACATCTAAAGTTCAGTATCTCGATATTAGAATATAAAACTATTTTTGGCCAACCTCCTAATACCTTAAGCTTTTGGGAGAAACAATAAACTGATGTTCCTTGTTCAGGTGTAAAGATGTTGCAGCAGTAGATATTAACATGGGTTGCCCAAAGTCATTTTCTGTGAGTGGAGGAATGGGCGCGGCACTGTTGTCTAAACCAGACCTTATTCATGATGTACGCAATGATTATCCTTTAGCTTTTTTCACCTTCCTCTTAGAGATTTTACAAACATTTTTCTTCTGAACTCAGATATTAACAACATTGAGGAGAAACTTGAACACCCCAGTAACGTGTAAAATTCGTCTACTAAAGTCACCTCAGGATACCGTGGAACTAGCTAGGCGAATTGAGAAAACTGGTGTTTCTGCGCTTGCCGTCCATGGAAGGTAATTTCTAATTTTCCTTTATAGTGGATAAACATTTGTAATTGATTTCTCCCTGACATTTATGTCAATTCTCTCTGTATTTGTTAATATTAAGTTGTAACTTATATTAGAATTTGACAATTTGTGGTTAGCAGAGTAGTGGATGGTAGAAGGAAGGGGATTAGTAGAAGTGGGGTTAGAGCAGTAGCACATTGTCAACAACATGACTCTGTCTTAACACACCGTAACGTGTTCTATAAGCTATTTTAGATCCAAATATGTGTTATCAATTGTGTACCAATTGGATTTTTTTTTTTCAAAAAAAAAAAAAAATTGTTTACCAATTGGAGAAGTTAATTACCTGAAGAATGGAATTTCGAAGGATCAATTGTGGACACAAAAAAAAAAGGTTAAGGTTCCTATATTTTCTTTTACATAAGCACCCTAAGGAGAAAAAAAAAAAAAAGAAACCCACGAAAAGGAGAATTTATTATGTTAGGTTCTTTTATTTGGGAATTGGGGTCCTACTCTTTTTGCAGCTTTCTTACGCAGATTTTTCTTAATTGCATGTACGTACCTTCATCCTTGTAAAACTCGCAGGAAAGTTGCAGATAGGCCGAGAGATCCAGCTAAATGGGCGGAGATTGCTGATGTTGTAGCATCAATATCCATTCCAGTTATAGCAAATGGCGATGTCTTTGAGTATGATGATTTTCAGCACATCAAAGTTGCTACAGGTACTCATTAGGAAATTTCAAAAGATTCCAAGCATAATAAATTTTGGGCCTTCACTTGATGGGTGGTTAGAACAAGATATCATTATGCATTTTCTTGAATTTTTTAATTCATGATCATATAATTATTCCGAGTTATGTGTGTTCCATTAGGTGCCTCATCAGTTATGGTTGCAAGAGGAGCTCTCTGGAATGCTTCGATTTTTTCCTCTCATGGAAAATTACCATGGGAAGATGTTAAAAGAGAATATGTTAGGAAGGTAAAATTTCTCCTATTGATAAAGTTGCAATAGCGTTTTAAACATGTACGAGATTGGTACTATCACGCCATTTAGGTCGGATCAATTTTTATAGATTATCGTTTGATGGGTCAAATTTTTTGGAGAATATGATTGCCTGTGTGTTTGCTATCCCATTGGCCATACAAGGTAATCAGAGTTGAAACACGCTGAGCCCTTCACTAATATTGGCACTTTCTATTGTCAGAGCATTTTATGGGATAATGATATTAAAAGCACAAAGCACACTCTGAAGGAAATGATAATGCACTATTCTTGTCTTGAGCTTCCGGAGGGGAAGGCTGTAATCAAATCGGAGTCCTTGGCGGATCTAGCGTAAGTTTAATTTAATTTTAGATTGTCTTCTTCAATTATAGTTTAATGGGATATCTTTTCTCTCTAGGGACAAATGATTTTTTAAATTTTTTTCCTTTCCCTTGTTCCATATTTGACTCAAATCCTATAGACTATATTTGATGCAAACGCTAATGGTAATGGTTATGTTTGACACAGGAAAAAAAAAAGGTATAAGAAAATGGCATATTTGATGTTGTAAAAGGAAATTTTTTAATCTACAAATAATTAAGAAATGACAAAATGTTGTAATCATTAGGTAAAAAGTATATACATCAACCAATAACCAACCAAATACCAAAATTTGATACCAAATATTGTATATGTCAAATTAGCCATTAAATTAGGTATAGCATGTCATTGGAGAATAATTTTCTTACCTGAATGTGAAATTTTGACATTGTATTTGAGTTGCTCTTAGATGTTTGTATTTTCCTTTGTTGTTCTTATCATGCATTGTCCTTGCTCTTCAGGCGATTTTACGGAGAGGAGAAATACTACGAGTTTGTTACGCATAACCGATTCCTGCTCAATGGAAGAAGATAAAATTTGTTTTATTTTTCTTGAAGAAAGTAGGCCATCATCGCTAATTCCTGATGAAGGCAACTGAATTAGTATGCAGCATAGGCAAAGTTGTGGAGGGTATTCTCCGATGTAGCTTTGTTTGAAGACATTAAGGAGAAGTTTGGTTCATAGATTAAAATCATGTGATTAAAATTATTTTTTATTTACGTATATTTTTTGTGAGAGAAAACACTGTAGTGAACTATAAATCATGATTTAAATCATGGTTTGAATCCTCTAACCAAACATCCCCTAAATTGATGTTAAAAGCTCTCATTAGGTGAGTTAAGAGAGCCAAAAAGATTATAAATTCAGCCGGACTTTTTTCGAAACAAATTTAGTCTAACTGGTCCACTCTCATAGTTGTAATCTCATACAATGCCTGTAGCTTAAACGTTTCCCCTGCTTTCTTAAGCATATCACACAAAATTCACGAATAGATCGATGATTAGTGCATGAAAATGCACCTTAAATATTGTTTTTGATTTACACAATATTAAAATATTTAAGCTTTAATTAAACAATTATATTATTTTTATTCATAATATTTTTAATTAGAATTTATTTAGTTTTTGTTTAATTATTTACAGATAAAAAGCAGTGTAAAAAGTCACATAAAAATAAGTCATGAAAGTCATATTTTCAACCATCCGGAGCCAAGCCTCTCAGCCGAGCCGCGCAAGCCATCAGAGAGAGAGCCGAGCCGATTGTGCCGAGTAGCTGAGCCAGCCAAGTCACATCAGTCCGTGTGGGTCCTAGCTCTTCCACGCTCCCCGACTCTCCCTCGCGCACGTCCCCAGCACGCCCATTCCTCAGCGAGCGAGTTCCTTCCATGCAGCATCACCGCGCGTCCCAGCTTTCCGCCGCGTGGGTCCCGCGTCTGCTCACGCCAGACCTGCCGCTCACTCCGCTCGTGACACTTGTCCAATGCGGGTCCCAGCTGTCCTCCACTCTGACTCCGCGCTAGCACACTCCACCACTCCAAGCGCGACACGTGGCACGTTTCCTCCTCACGTCCAATCACGTTGCGACACGTGTCCCATTTGGTGATGAATCCGAATTCCTTCCCCAAAAATCAGAGGAAATTACCAGATTTCTTCCCCAAATCAAATATGTGATTTCTCCTAATGTATGTGTAATTTTATTTTGTTTCCTTTTCTTTTGTAATTTTCTAGTTTTACAATTTATTTCCTTATTTGACAAGCAACCTCTGAACACTATAAATAGAGGGGTTGGCTTAAGGTTTTAGAGAGTTTTTTATTCAGTTTTCTGTCGTCTTGCTGTCAGTCTCATATTTTCTCTCTAGAACTTGTGAGAATGTTTTGCAAGATAGGCTAGAGTTTTCTTGGTGAGGTTAGAGATGAACTTCTGTTGAGTGACCCAATTCGGGGTTTTGATTCCTTATTCTGTAAACTCAAACATCTGAATGAATTAAATCTCATATATTTTTCTATTACTTTTCAAAATATTGTGTGCCAATTTTTATATAAGTTCAGTCACGCTTTTCTTATGTAATTCTGTCATGCAATGTTTTGTTATTCAAATTATTTTACAAATTGTCTTTTACTGCAATATTGTCAGATTGATATATTGTGGATTTTAGATAACTTGTAATAATAATATTTTCTGAGCCAACATAGAGATTTAATTTATTCGATTATTTTATTTTGTGAATCAAAACTTGAATTGGTGAACGAAGCATTATGGATTCTCGACACCTTACCGTTTTCTTCATACAGATTTTTTTCTTTTTATTTTATTTGCAACAAAAATCTCAAAAACTCTTATTTTTCTTTAATTCACTTTTTTCTAACGCTCTTATTCTGTTAATCATTTTTGTTATTTTGTTATCTTCAATTAGTGTCAAACTTTTTTTAAAAGGAAAAACGTGTCAAACTTCTGTGTTATATAAAAGTAAAATTACTATTTTGTTCTACTTTATTTATTGCTAATGTAGTTGATATGGTTCCCCGTCAGATCTCTCTTCCATATCGGAAGCATAACATTTTTTTTTTCTTTCGTAGTTATTGAAGTTTTTAGGTAAATTATATTTTAATCTTTTACATTTAGATTTAGTGTGGCATCAATTTTTTTGTTTTTTTTTTTTTTGTTTTCTTATTCATCGACTGAACAAGTTTACTAATGTGAACTTGGGAGAACAAAGTGTTGGAATTTGTTTTTAAATAATTTTATTTTTTGTATAAAAATGAAAACGAAAACGTTTTTAATTTTAGACAGAATTTATTTTTAAAAATGTATTTGATAGTTTTATCAAAAGATTATTTTCAGTATAAAAAATTCATTAATGTCTCTCTCTCTATTCAAGAGAGGAGAAAACGAAAATAAAAAATGACTAAAAGTCATTTTTTTTTATTTTTCTCTCATTTTACACTAAACTAAAAAATTGTTTTCATTTTTATTTTATCTTTATTGCGCTAAACACTGATTTAAAAACGTTTTCATTTTTTTTCTTGAAAAATGTAAAAAATAAAAATGGGATTAATTCTAAACACGCCTAATATAATTTTTGGCCGCTTAATAAAGTTTTTTCTTCGGAACAAATATTTTGACACAATTTGCATGGAAACTGGTTTTTAATCACATGAAGTCAGACCACTCAATAGTGGCTTGTTCTGTCCAGCGTCTTTAGTCGACCAGTAACTAGTTTTTAATCGTATAAAGTCACAATGAGTGTGTTCACTTATACAACTCAAATCATAACTTAAGTTATGTATGTGAGAGAAAAATACTATAATAAAAAAATTAAATTTAAATATATATGAAAAAAAATATTGTAGCAAAATAATTTGAGTCATAAAACGAACAAGACCGGTGGCTACTTATTGAGTTGGGTACTATTTGGTTTTTAGAACACATTATTATTATTATTACTATTATTTTATGAAGTTTATTCAATCTTGAAAATGCACGGGTTTATGATCACTTGAATTTCATTATTGTTATTCAGTAATTGTTTGAAAAACTTTTCAAAACTTAATTTACCAATTTTCGAATATTTATTCTTGAGCTAATAAACTATTAGACGTGACCAATATGTTAGATTGGTCATATATATATATATATATATATATATATATATATATATATATATATATACTCCGATAGATCGGTCATATGAATAAAAA